GTAAATACTACCAGACAATCGCGACCATGCGATGAAGTTTGGATGATGATGAAGGTAGGCGAAATCACTATTTATTTTTGCCTATAGACGTTTTGTAGTATCTTCAAGTTATAATATAGTTTTTAAATTACAGCAAATGGGTGGTTTGAGTTCACTCACCCTCTATATATATCTCTAACATTATTATAATAATAATACTAATAACAACAACAATAATAATAATAATAACAATAACAACAACAACTATAACTATAATACTAATAACAATAACAACAACAACTATAACTATAATACTAATAATAATAATAGTAATAATAATAACAACAATAACAACAACAACTATAACTATAGTTGTTGTTGTTGTTATTATTATTTTATTTTATTTTTATTTATTTTTATTGAACCATTTTTTTTTTAATTTTAATTACATATAACTTATTTATTTATATTACTCTTTTTTCTAGCTTTCTCTTGCTATTTTCAAATGGATTATGTCTCGTTTGGTTGTCTCTCTATCGGGAAGTAGAAAAATAGTTATTCTTATGTTAAATGATGTATCGATTTATTTTCATTTTAATTTTTTCCTTTATATATATTTTAAATTTTTTTATGACTATTTAAATATTAAATTACTTTTGTAACTACAATATTATATTTCTAGCAAAAAACAATATGTGATGAAGTGTATATAAAATTTAATTCTTTTTTTGGGAGATACTTGAGTAATTTTTATTTTCTAATCATGAATTTTGATCACATCTCCTCTAGGTTTCTCTCGCTATTTTTTATTTGCACGATATCAATTTTTATTCCTCTATTTAAAATAACATTTTAAAAAAATTTGTCTCCCTATAATCATATTTTATCATAAATAGTATACATGAGTTATTTATTTATTTCATAGTTTTTAAAAAATTATAATTATTTCATAAAGTTTTTCAATAGTGAAGATAAATTCAATGATATCTAAGATCATGTTTTATTGAAAATATTTTTCAATGATAAACATGTTTTTAGTGATTTATATTAAATATCACATGTAACATACGTGCATATTAATGGTCTAGATAAAAAGGAAGGCATCTTCATATTGTTTAGACTACTTAGGAGAGGAAAGAAGGCAATATATTTCAAGGGAAAAGTTTATATAAATTAGAGCCCCCCTAAAAAAATTCATTAGGGAAAAGTTTATATAGAGCTAAACAATCAAATCAGAGCCCACCTCAAAAAATTCACTAGAAGAGGTTGTTTTGATGCCCAAATATCCTCAAATTGATCATCTCGACATCAAGATGCATGACCATAAGAAAAAAAATGAATTTCAAGGTTTGAAAATAATGTATCTTGTAATACATTTTTGAACCGTCAATTTTCAAGATTTTCAAGTTTTTATGGATCCTACACTATTTTTGAAGTTTTAAATTTTATAATTATAGATAAATTATATTTTATGATTTTCACTAAGATTTCCAATATTGAAACCACATGTCTCGACACTATTTGAAAGTGGGCTATACTTTGATTCTTTAGAGCCTCAACTCTATACTAACTGCATATTTAAATTGAAATATAAAATAATTTTTTAAATCTATTTTAGCAATAAAATGAGAAGGTAGAACATTTGAGTGACACACACTATAGTGGTCGCTTGCATAGGACGCGGTTAGCATGCGGCCAAGCCCGCACATGTATAAATGCAGACTTCGCAATAAATATAATTTTAAATATAATTTGATCCTAATTTTTAGAGAATATATAATATTTAACATGGAGATCATGAATACAAATAAATAAATTTTTAAAACTAGAAGTAATAATTATATTAAAAAAATATTTGTTGTTTTTAGATGGACCACCTATTTGTATCTATCTTTAGGATGGATACTTTATACTTCTAGACTGCATATTGTAGAAATGTGGTCCAATTGTTGTAAAAAAAATGCAGTCCAGCCCGCCGCCAAGCTCTTTCTAACTTCCTTATGGGTGCCATCAGACTAGTGCAGAGTCGTGCGCAACCCCAACCCCAACCCCAACCCCGCCTCAAGAGGTTATTGTGGATCGGATGGAGACTCAAGGTTGTACTTTGAGGCTTGGGTCGAGTGGGGAAGGTAAGAGAGCTCAAGGTCTGCTTAGGTTGGGATAGTTGGGGTCCTTGTTTAGTTGGT